ACCCACCACACACACACACACACACCTCTTGTTGTTGTTGTTGTTGTGTGTGTGTGTGTTTGTTTGCTTGCTTTTGCATTTGTATGGGGTTTGTCCACAGCCAAAGAAGGGGGTGGTAAGGATAGGGGCAACAATGCGGCGGTCTACTGTGACTACATGGACACAATGGGCGGGACAATTGCGTATGTACCGCACCCCATTGGGTGGTGCCTACTTTGAACAGCCGTTACCGTCTTCGCTTGGGGCCTCCCGTTCCAAAGGGAAAGCTACCAGCACGGCTCACATCAGCACGAAGGGTCGGGGAAAGCGAGGGAAAAAGCAACTGCTCAGTGTTCCCCTTACCGCCGAAGGTCTTAAGTCACAGCTACGACAACTTGGGGGGGAAACAGCTGTTTACAACCGGCGCCGTAGAGATGATGGAGAGGTGTGCCTTGCAGAAGACAGTCATCGTGACATGCGATGGCGGGCACTTTACAGCACAGATTCAACGGGAAATACACCAATGCGTGCTTCTAACGAGTCTTCGCCTGTTATCGTGGCGAAGCAGGGCAGCTTGGTGTTGTTGGATACAGAAGAAGAAGAAGTGGGGAATAACGTTGTGCTGCCGGGAAGCAGCGTGCTAGCTAGTGATCTGGACCGACTAGAACGTGACATGATGCGTGATTACCACCAACGCGGCAAAGAGCTTCCACATTTTGATAACGTCTACGTGGCATTTGGGGGTGGGAGAAGTAGTGAGAAATCGTATCACGTTCTTGCAGAGGAGTACCGGCACCACATGGCAAAGGCGAAAGGGGTTGTTGGAACGGGAATGTCTGGTCTGGGCGTCAACTTATGCCGTGGGTTTCAACAGAAGAAAGAGGATGAGAATGAAACGGAAGAAGATGCCATGCTACCACCGGAGGCAAATCCTCACTTTCCTGTTGCAATGGAGGCTGGCACTGCATCTGCTGTTACAGCTACAACAGCTACACAATTCATAGAGCATGCCGTTGCCTCCTCTTCTCCATTGTCTTCTGCTCCCTCATCCTTTCCGTATGATGCATACATAGCACGTCCTGTACGTAATCGTCTGCTGCAACTGCGGGGTGCTGAGTTTTGGAATGACGCGGAGAATCGTGAGCGGCTTCAGCAGAGAATGGACTACGCGATAGAAGGTCACACACACGAGATGTTGACAGAAGGGTCGGTGGATACCAGTGAGATTGGCTATTCAACAAACAGGGTGCGCAGGGAGACGCTACTTTATTTTCAGGCGCATCCCATCAATGAGATGATTCAGGTGCCTTTTGTACGCATCCGCAGCATATTACTTAGTGACGGAGAGGCAGAGGTGTATTTTCCCGCGGGCGACGCTGATACCGATGTAGACCTCCCTGCATCGCAAGCACGGCGCATGGCCCGTGAATTGGGTCTTGATCTTGTCCAAGTGGGGACAATCCACACGGACAAGAACGACAGACGTGTAATAGCTATCTGTACCATTGCAGATCACCGGGAACATATGCGGGATATGATTCGATTCAAGGTGCAGAAGCTTGGTGTTCAACCTCCACCCACGAAGGAGTGCATCGAGGTGCCTTTCCGTGGTGGAACGCACCCCCACGCCATTCGCTTCAAAAGTATCGGTATTGCAAAACATCTTCTCCATCGGCATGTGGTGCGCATTAACCTGACGAAGTTTGGAACACCGAAAGAGGGGTTTCCGGTATTTCGCACCATCCTGGATGAGGTGAAGAAGCAGACACTCCAATTAAAGGCATACCACACCGCAAGTATGGTGCGAGCTAACTACAACGAGGTGTACTGCTACTTGTTTCCTTCGACAGGCCGATCACCCAAGACGACTGTTACACACCCGACACAAGAGCAGCTAGATGCGACGCGTGATCAGCGTATCCTTGAGGACGAACGGGAAATCTACTTTGATGACCTCAACAACAAAAAAACCGCCCGGGAGCGATTGGCATACATACAAAAGCTAGAGAAGGGCACCGCATGGGCGGATAAAGACGAGGGTCTTTCACTGCAACGTCAGCGTGACATTAAAATTATGCTTGGGTACTTGCCAAAGGGCAATCACGAACTTTATGGAGCACGCGGTGATGTTAACATCCCTTCCCCATTCCGTGCAAGTCACCCAACATCAGTGGAGCAATGGACACATCCACCGGAGACGAACTTGGAGCAAGCGTCGCGGGGTGCGGCAGTGCTTGGCAAGCGACTTGCCATGACAGTGAGCGAGATGCACGACAGGCAGGAATCAGCGGACAACCCGACGACATTAGATCGTTTTTACTATCGATTGCAGGGTCCGGCTTTGGAGGCGGGTGAATTCAAGGAAGCACTTGGGCTGAAACGCAATCGCAAGTCGGTACCAAGATATGCGCCCGGTTGGGGTACACTTGGGATGCCAAAGAACCCACCGGAGGAGCCGGGATATGCAGCGAAGTAGCGGCAGGATGTGAACAGAGAGTTCAGAAGTTTGCCTCCGGCGTGTGCAGAATAAGTGAGGTTAAAGACATGTATACATCGGCATATTTGCATGCATGAGTATACAATTATTCCCTGATTTTATACTGTTTTTTTTTGTTGTTTCTGTATGTGTGTGGGGGTGGGGGTTGTTTTTACGCGAACCTGTTGACACCTTCATTTTTTACAAACTCCACCAGAAGCAACCCTACTATTGTCAGCAAGAAGTGTGAACAAACGTTTGAAGCAATGGATTCAATGAGCTCAGCAGAAGACAGCGTGTCAAGCCTGGACAGTCAACCCATGCGGGACGTGGTGTACCCCATTGGTGAGGCGACGGAGGTGCCAGGCACAAACGGGGGCCTTTTCAAGACGGTTCTTGTGGCTGGCACAGGAACCCGCCCCGTAAAAGATGCGAAAGTGACGGTCCACTACGTCGGTACACTCGAGGCGGACGGATCAAAGTTTGACAGCAGTCGCGATCGTGGGGAGTACTTTGAGTTTACCCTCGGCCGTGGGCAGGTCATTAAAGGCTGGGATAAGGGCGTGGCCACAATGCAGATCGGAGAGAAGGCGGTGTTGAAGTGCTCGCCCGAGTATGGCTACGGTGCCGCGGGCAGTCCACCAAAGATTCCGGCAAATGCTACGCTGTTGTTTGAGGTGGAACTTTTTGGCTGGACACGCGAAGAAGACATTTCGGAGGAGAAAGACAAGTCCATCATGAAAAATATCACCGTTGACGGCGTTGACTACGAAAAGCCTGGATACGAGTCGACGGTAAAGATTGACCTCCGCGTGTACTGCGGCGCACAGGAGGATGGTAAACTTCTGTGCGAACGGCTCGGTTGGGAAATTGTTCTTGGTGATGTGGCGGTACCGCCGCACCTTGAAGCATGTCTCTCATCAATGCGCAAACGTGAGGCGGCGGCGTTCCGCATCGCTGGCCACCGCATCACAGAGCCTTGTGAAGAATTTAACATTGCTGCACATGAGCCGGTGACGTACGTGGTGGAGCTGCATGAGCTCGAGAAGGTAAAGACGTGGAAGTTTCAAGGGCAGGAGCGTCTGGATGCGTGTGAACAGCGGAGGCAACAGGGGAATGACGCTTTCCGTGCTGGGAAATTGGACGTGGCAGAGCGGAAGTACCGTCGTGCGCTGGAGTTTGTTGAGACAGACAGCGGCCTGAACGACAACGAAGAGGAAAAGGAGGCGGCACGGAAAGCGCGTGTTATTTTGTGGGGCAACCTTTCGCAGGTGCTGCTGAACAAGCGGAAATTCAAGGAGTGCATTGAGTACTGCGACAAAGTCATTGGATTGGAACCAAAGAATGCCAAGGCACTCTATCGCCGTGCTAAGGCGAATGACGCGCTGAGTGAGTGGGATGAAGCCAAGCGGGACGTGGAACAGTTGCTCGCCATCGATGCTGAGAACCCCGACGCAAAAGTGCTTCTGCAACATGTGCAAGAGCAACGAAGGGCGTACGAAAAGAAACAACGATCCGTTTACAAGAAGTTGTTTGCATCATAGCCCTTTATCTCGCTCTGTTTTCTCAGCGTTTACAGGGCCCATCAACGCTCTTCCTTGTGTTATTTTCCGTATTTTGTTTTTTTTATTTTCCAACCGACCGATTATTATTATTATTACTATTATTATTATTATTATTTGTGTTTTACTGCGCTTTGTTTTTTTTTTTGTTCGTTCCTTTTTTTATTAATTCCCCGGCCCATCTCTCTGCAGGGCTCAGCTTTTTTTTTTTTTTGTTGGTTGGAACGATGAACTTCCTTTCCGTCAGCGTGCTTCTCTTGTAGCGCGTTGGTACACATATATCTTTTGTCTGCCTTTATATTTTTCGGTTGTGGCTCCGCCCAAACCAATGATTGCTCTTCTTTGTTCTTTCTGTTTGCTGTGTTGTTGCCGTTGTTTTCCTCTTCTAACTACTACATGCGGATAACGGTAAAGCCTTTGCAATGGTGTGCGTGTACGCCTTGTTTGGTGTGATTCACCCGTGTATACACCGGGTTACAGGTGGTGGAGGCAAGGTGTTTGCGGCGAGGCCCACAGCATTTCTGCACCGTGCCGGCTTTGAAGTGGACACAGACATTTAAAGCATTCAACTTTACGTGGACCACAATGGTCTTGTGATTTCCATTCCACACCCACGCTTTATTGTGAAGAACGTGTGTCGCTCCTTCTGGCATGGAGTTGACAAGGTGCGTTTTGTGTTTTAGTTGATATCATTGTTTGTTTGTGACTGCGTTCAGTTTTGGTGCCTTTCGATGTGTTCTCAATTTGCCTGTTGGCGCATGGATCCGCACTAACCGTTTCTCAGTGCCTCTATGGCGTTTTCATGAAACAAATTTCATTTTTGCCTGCACTTTCTCGTGATACCGTATGCTGGTGCTCCGCCCAAGTGTTGGCTTTGGCGCCGCGACGGTCTTCACGGAATTACAAAGTTTTTGCCCTTCGACAGCTGCTGAAGTATAACGACTGGGATGGACGAGTCTCGCACGAAGATGAACCGAAAGACGATGATTTGGAGATTCATTCTTAGGACATTATTTATGCACATCATCAAAAAAAAAAAACACCACGACTTCTGTGTGAACGCGCATGTTGGAATAAAAAATATTTGCCTAACTCCTGAAAAGAAAAACAACTGAAAAAACATCAAATAAAAGCTGAAGATGACCAGAACATATATATATACTTACTTGCTGTTTCCCCTGCTTTTTCCTTTTTTTTTTTTTTGGATCCCCTCTCAGCTTCCACTTTACTTCATTTTTATGTATTTTGTGCCTTCATAAAAACAGGGCTTCTGTCTCACTTGTGTTGGCAATCCTTTTGCTTTACTTATTTGCAGGTTGGCTCATGGTGTCACGGAGTCATTTCTCTCAGAGAGGCCGCCTGCAACGCAATAGGGCAGGAAGGCGAAATACCGTCATGTAATGGCACATGAAATCAACAAGTCCCTCAAGGAGAACCAAACCTCATGCATGTTTGTGTACTTGCGTAGTTGGCTACAGGGCTTCTGCTGCAGCTGTTTTTGATAGGTGTGGGTGGCGGCTTGCTTGTGGTTACTTCTTTGATACATCGAGAGGCGCGGGTGAAAACAACAATAATGATGAAGGCAAATGATTTTTCCGGGGGAAAGCTGTGTGACAACATGAGATTGTTTTTATTTTACTTTTTACTTTTTATTTATCTATTTTTTCTTGTTGGTAAATATCATAGCAGTTGTGGGTGTGCATGAACTACCCACTGAATGATATCTTCACTTTGCCCTCTTTCCTTTCATGTTATGTTTTATGCTGATGCTGTGTCTGTTGTGTGTGCCTGTATTTTTGCTGCAGTCACCGCGGTATTGTATCTTCGTGGAAGTTTTTTCGTATGTATGCTGATTTTTTCCCTGGCAATGTCTCTTTCGACTTTCACCCTTAGCGACAAGTGTGCTTAGCAGTTGGTATGTCGTACCTGACGGAGGAAGAGGAAAAGGAGCGGAAGCGCGAGGAGCAGCGACGTTTGTCACGGCAGCAGATCATTGAACATGTAAAGAAAAATCTCCTTTATACCGCCTTTGACGTGAAGTGGGTGCCGCATAGTGCATCCTTTGCCGTGGTGGGTCAGTATCCAAACAACCAAGGCGCCATATCACTTCTGCAGCTCAACAAGGGTGAGCTATGCACTCAGTGTGACGTCAAGAGCAGGATGCCTGTAAAATGTTGTACCTTTGGCCACAACGCATCTAACTGGCAGTCGAACATAACCCTCTGCGCTGGGGATTTTGCCGGGGGTCTGTACCTTTGGGACATTGAACGGCTTGACACTGATCCCATCTTTGAAGTACCACATGCACACGAGAACATTATCAATGCCGTTGATGGTGCACAACACACCGGCCCACCAGAGATCGCGAGTTGTGGGCGGGACGGCTGCGTAAAGGTGTGGGATGTGCGTCAGTCGAACAAACCAGTACTTGCGCTGAACCCCGCCAACCCTGCCCTGGCTCGTGACTGTTGGACTGTTCGCTTTGGGAACAGCTTTGACCCTGATGAGCGCGTTGTTGCAGCTGGTTACGACAACGGAGACGTGAAGCTGTTTGACCTGCGCACGCAGAAGATGCTTCACGAGTTTAATGTGGGCAACGGCGTGTGTGACTTAGAGTTTGACCGCCCGGATATCAACATGAATAAGCTGATCGTCTCCTCATTGGAGGGCCGCATCCGCGTGTACGACCTGCGGACGCTTCATCCAAAGCTGGGTTACGCGTACGTGGAGGAGCGGGTGTCAAATGGCACCGTGTGGTGCACCCGCGCACTACCGCAGAACCGTGAGGTGTTCATGTCTGGTGGCGGCGGGGAATTGACGCTATGCCGGTACCGTTACCCTCCAGAACGCACGCTGCGAGATCCTGAGGGTGTGGCGAAGGGTGTTGCCGGAAGTGTTGAGGAATTTAACAGGGCGAAGGTGGGAGATCAACCGATACACGCGCTTGATTGGAACCTCGCGAAGGAAGGTTTGCTGGTTTGTGCCTCATTTGACCAGAGCGTTCGCGTTGTGCTCGTGACGAAGCTATCGCATCTGCAGTGAGTTTTGGCTCTTTTTGCCTGCCGCTGCAGCCGCTACTTTAGTCACACCAAAGCGACGGCGAGGAGAAATAGGATAGTGTCGGAGCGAGGCAACGAAGAAGAGTAACGAGTCACACAGAAATCTAAACACACACACCCACCCACCCACACACACACACACACACAAAGGGAGGGAGGAGGGGGTGGAATGAACCGAATTTTTGGGTGCGTGGGCATCTACACTGGCTGCCGTTTGTTTCGCCGCGGAATAATTATTGTTTCAACTTTTTATTTTTATTTTTACTTTTTTACTTAGCTTTTTGCGTGTTTTTTTTATTCTCGTTTTATTTTAATCTTTGAGGACGCTGCTTTTGCACTCCGGGAAATAGAGAGTGGGAGAAGTAACACACACACACAGAGACAGACAGACAGACAGACAGACAGACAGACAGGCAGACACACACTTTTTTTGCGTTTATATTTCTGCACGCAAAATTGGGATTAATGTCGAATATTGAGCTTCGCACAAAAACAATCCGGGACGGTGTAACGGCCGAGGAGTTGTTTCAGGGTGATGGCCTTACCTACAACGACGTCATTATCCTTCCGGGCTTCATTGACTTTGGCGCGTCAGAGGTGCAAGTTTCAGGGCAATTTACAAAAAAAATTCGGTTGCATATCCCCATCGTTGCGTCTCCGATGGACACTGTAACGGAGAGTGAGATGGCCCGCACAATGGCGTTGATGGGGGGCATCGGAGTGCTTCATAACAACTGCACTGTTCAAAGCCAAGTGCAGATGGTGCGAAGCGTCAAGTTATTTCGTAATGGTTTTATCATGAAGCCCAAGTCTGTGGCCCCGGATACGCCTATCTCTGTCATTCAGGAGATAAACAGCGAAAAAGGAATCAGTGGCATCCTAGTGACGGAGGATGGCCGGCACGACGGCAAGCTGCTTGGTATTGTCTGTTCAAAGGACATTGATTTTGTGAAAGATGTGTCGTTGCCGGTGTCGCAATTCATGACAAGGCGCGAAAACATGACTGTGGAACGGCACCCCATTCAATTAGAGGAAGCGATGGATGTGCTAAACCGCAGCCGACACGGTTATTTGCCAGTCCTGAATGACAAGGGGGAAGTAATGTGCCTTTGTTCTCGTCGTGATGCGGTGCGTGCACGCGCCTTCCCGAACAGCAGCCTTGATCGTAATGGACATCTTCTGTGTGCTGCTGCAACCTCCACGAGAGAAGAGGATAAGGCACGTGTAAAGGCTCTTTCTGGTGCTGGCGTAGACGTTCTCGTGTTGGACAGCTCGCAAGGCAACACTGCCTATCAGATATCATTTATAAAGTGGGTGAAGAAGACATTTCCCCATTTGGAAGTTGTCGCGGGTAATGTCGTGACACAAGACCAGGCTAAGAATCTTATTGATGCTGGTGCTGATGCTATTCGCATTGGTATGGGAAGTGGCAGCATTTGCATCACACAAGAAGTTCTTGCATGTGGTCGTCCACAGGCTACGGCAGTATATAAGGTATCTCACTATGCTGCATCACGTGGTGTGCCATGTATGGCAGATGGTGGCCTGCGAAATGTTGGTGACATTTGCAAGTCTCTTGCTCTTGGTGCAAGCACCGCCATGCTGGGCTCCATGTTGGCCGGTACCTCCGAGACACCGGGAAGATACTTCTTTAAGGACGGTCTTCGTCTCAAGACTTACCGTGGTATGGGAAGCCTTGAGGCTATGTCGCAAGGGAAGGAGTCTGGGAAACGTTATCTCTCAGAGAAGGAGAGTGTGCAGGTGGCACAAGGCGTTTCTGGTACAGTACTTGACAAGGGCTCTGTGACGAAGCTACTCGCGTACATCCACAAGGGGCTGCAGCAGTCTGCACAAGACATTGGTGAAATCAGCTTTGACGCCGTGCGAAGGAAGATGTATGAGGGACAGGTTTTATTTAACCGTCGCAGTCCCATTGCCCAGATGGAAGGTGAAGTTCATTCGTTACACTCGTACGAGAAGAAGTTATTTACTTCAAAGCTGTAGGGATGCCACTTTTTTAAATTATTTTGTTCTCTCTTGAATTCACTGGTCAAATTCACTCATTACCAACGAAACTGTGGAAGTGTCTGGCGTCCCATTTGATTTCCTGCCGTCAATGGCAGGCGCACAGCCACTGCGCGGCCCCAATAACGCAAGAGTATTGTCTTTGCTGGACAGGTGTTCAGGTACTTCGGTGGAGTGTGTGAATCCATATGCTTTTAACGAGTCCATTTCATTCAGTAGTAATGCGCCTGCGGTCCTGCTTTAAATTCCATGAAGTATACGGAGGGGAGGGAGTAAGGGAGAAATAAGGAGAGAACAATGAACAAAAAAAAAGTAAAAAACAAAAAACATCAACAATAACAACGACAATTAAAACAGGAAACAGAAAGAATAAATTTAAAAGAATCTAGGGAGTCTTTTTTTTTTTGTTTTCTTTACCCCTCCATCCCCTGTGGGCAGGCCTACGAAGCTGGAGATAATGAGTCTTCCTCCCTTCGTGCACTGACCTGAAATCTTTTTTTGTTTTGCTGCGTTATTTTTCTTTTGTCATTGTTTTTAATATATGTTAAAAAAAAAACAACATTTGGGTCCATTTTTTTGTGTTGCCTATTTTGTCTGGTTGATGAAGACACAAGGAATAATCACGTAGGTATTTAACGACGCCGCAGGAAACGCGCGGAAACCGTAGGGACGTCTGAGCGTCCTTTCCTTGATGGGGTGGGGGTGGGGGGGGGGAACCATGGCCGGTGTGCAGTATGTGAATAAAAGACATGAAATGTTCTTTCCGGATTTTTGGTGACGTCAGCTAATCGCCATTGAGGGCATTCTTTTCGACGTGCTACGTGACGAGGTATACAGCGCATACACGTGACGACTTCGAGGGGGTTGGGAGGCATCTTCAAAGTATACCATGTTGTTCAATGTTTCGTTCAATGACACTGTTTCTTGGGGACAAAGGAAATTATTAACGCTTCTTCATTCTTGGAACAGTTTGCCACGTAACTTTGTCGCCTGCGTGTCCTTTGATTGTAGAACTTGTGGCAGCTGTTATGGTTTGCCACTGTTGCTCATAGTGGAGATGGAGGTGCGAGGGAAAACTATGGCGTTTTTATCATTGTTATTGGCCTCTACTTTTCTGCTTTTTTGAAAATATATATAACGTGTCTGGTGCAGTATAACCTTGTCGAATTTTATCATTTGAACGAGATGCGTATAAGAACACCGTCTTGTTGGGGAAGTAGTGTGCGTCTGGGTGATTTGTGGGTGTGCGAAGAGCCATGACGGAAGTTTCCGTATGCAACTTTTTGGAGGTGACGGGGCGACAGTGCTTGCTTCTTACCTTTGACACGCACTCACGTGTGTGTGTGTGTTGAGGGGGGGAGGGGGGAGGGCTGCACAGTTTCTCTTCGTGAAACCTCTAGACGCAGCATATTGGCGGGCGGCTGCATCACAGCGGCCTGGTGCTATTGTGAGGGAGTGACACTCAAAGTTGTTCCCGCACTGCTGAGGCTATTTCCACCGCGGCTTGGCCCATCTGACACGTTCCCCCTGGATGCTGCTTTGCTGCAGTTGCACGAAGTGACACTATTTGGCGGATTTCCGCCAGCGCGCCTTCAGAGCATCTTGTTAATTTTCCCTGTGCTTAGCGCTGCCGGTATTCCTAACGACGGTGTCTCTGATTTTGATCGGGAACACATGGCATGCCAACACTTGGAAAGTCTTTGTGAGCTAGTTCTACCACATCTATTGGATTACGTCTCACTCGCGTGGGAAACGGCTGCCGCGTGGTTTTTTGTGTTTTCCCTGGGCTCAGATGGTATATCGGACCCATGCCTCTTTGTTCTTTTTCGATACTCTAGTGGTGCAGATTGGGTTTCGTGCTAAATATTTACACAACTGCAATGCACTTGCGATGCCCACGTTCGACGTCGTGCGGAATGGGATGCAGAAACTTCAGTTACCAAATGGTGTCGTGCGTACACTTGGGGAAGCGGAGCTCTCGAGCGAAACTCCATCACTTTTTGCATTCACGTCACAGATGATATTGTGATTATTATTTTTTTTTTTCATTACTTCATTTTCAGAATATAAACTTCTTTTTTGCAATTCCGACTGACAAGGATTTCTTATTAATTGATTTATGATTTTTTTTTTGTTTTATTCTCCGTTGTCACCATCATTTATGTGTGTGTTATGTGTTATTCTTGTTTCTACCTTTTACGCGAAGAACAATATTATTATAAATAGTAGCATACAACTGTATACACTGTCTACATACAGATACATATATAGTTTTTTATATGGACCCGTTATCGCGAGAAGAGGACGCCTCCAAGTCAACCTCCTTCTATCGGGGATTCTATGACGCACAGCAGCGGCGCCCGACAAAGAATGTAGACCCCACAGTTGCTCAGGCAGTTGGTGGGGCCATTTTTACGGCATTACCATTTGCAGTGGTATTTTATTTACTTATGAGGCGACAAACAACGGTGACCTCCACTGCATCTGGCGCAAAGCCTGGAAAGTTTATGAACAATGTGATAGAAATGGTAAAGAAACAAATGAATCCTTTGAGCGACAAAAACTTTCGAGTGGAGGTTAGGGACACAAAGTTCAAGGACGTGATCGGGGTGCCTGAGGCACTGGAGGAGGTACGACAGTACGTGAATTTCCTTAAAACACCAGAACGCTTCACACGACTGGGCGGTAGATTGCCGAAGGGCTGCATCCTCACTGGACAACCTGGGACAGGGAAGACACTACTGGCAAAGGCTGTTGCAGGGGAGGCGGGTGTCCCCTTCTTTGCATGTAGTGGAGCAGACTTTATTGAAGTGTATGCCGGATCGGGCCCGAAACGAGTGCGAGAATTGTTTGCAGCTGCAAAACATGAAGCTCCTTCGGTGATTTTTGTTGATGAAATTGATGCAGTGGGTTCACGCAGCAATGGTCAGGGAACGTTGGGGTTAAGTTCTGAAGAGAATCGTACAGTGAACCAGTTGCTTGCGGAGCTCGACGGCCTGCAGGCGAACGAGGCTGTCGTTGTGTTTGCCGCCACCAATTTCCCGGATAATCTTGACAGGGCCCTCCTGCGTGAAGGCCGTTTTGACCGCAAGATAGAGGTTCCAATGCCGGATCAACAAGCGAGGGAAGATCTTTTTACACATTATCTCAATCGCATTGTTACATCCGATGCAACCGCCAAAGCCAAGAGACTTGCCCACCTTACACCTGGTGTATCACCTGCGACGATATCCACCATTGTGAATGAAGCCGCTCTTGCGGCGGCTGTGGAGGGGCATGAAAAAGTTACTGAACAATCGCTTCTTCCCGCCATTGATGATGTTCTTGTGGGCAAAAAACACCGTAGCCGAATGTCGAATGCGGCAGCTCGTCGTGTTGCACTCCACGAGAGTGGACACACGTTGATTGCTTGGCTACTTCCAAGACAGTCTGATGTCATTAAGGTGTCAATTACACCGAGAGGCCCAGCCGCGGGTTTCACGCAGCAGGTTGGGAAGGAAACCTTTGATATGCCCACTGATGTGTCGCTCTTTACGGACATTTGTGTTATGCTTGCCGGTCGACTTGCAGAAACCACTCAGTACACCGAGCTCACAACTGGCGCCCAAGACGACTATCAGCGCGCCACGAAGACAGCAATACAGGCATTTTTAGTCTTTGGCATGTCGCAGCATGTCGGACTACTTGCATATGAACCACAACAATTAGACGCGGGGCGAATGTACCAGAAGTACTCGGAGAAGATCCAGGCCACTGCTGAAGAAGAGGCGGCACGATTGGTTGGGACAGCCCAACACTACACAAAGAGTTTAATAGCGGAACATAAAGAGCTGCTGCATCAGCTGGCCGCTGCACTTTTTACCAAGAAGGAGTTGCTGAAGGAAGACTTGGAAGCACTACTGGGACCTCGGGGCGTAGCGCGCTTGTCTCTGGATGCTGAGGAGGCACTCAACACATTTGTGCAAAAATCAGAGGAACATGGAACAACAGTGCGGGGAGCTCCTGAGTGAGATGTGCTTTATTTTTTTTTTTTTGTTTGAGTTTGTGTGCCAGTTTTCATTTTGTTAGAATAACTCCAGGTGGGCAATATTTATATGCGCTTTTAGCAGCGAATTCATTATGTATTTGTTTCTACTACGCGTTTTTACTTTTATCACCATTTATTTTCTTGTGGCCTTCGTGACTCTCTGCAGTGGTGCGGTTGGTTTGCACTCAGCCACGTTTGATTTTTTGGTTTAGTTTTATTGTCTTGCATTCTTCCGTGGCGGTGTACGTAGTTTAGGCCGCATTCAAAAGTATGGGGTAGGGAGCACTATGGATGTAGACGGCACGAAGGAACCGACAGTGCGTGCGCTGTGCGAGGACAGTTGCGCAGAACGCGTGCTGATGCACCGTGGGAAACACAGTCGTTTTTACCGTTTGTATTGGGGAAAGCGAGACGTCTGGCTCGGACTCAAGGAGGAGGAGTGCCTTGACCCCATTGCCACGTGGCGCAACTTGACAACAATACAAGACTTCAATTCGGAGTTTATTTTACACCATTACAATATTTGCCCTGACACCCAGCGTGATACACTGCTGAGACTATTAACCGAGTTGATGGACTACGCCCTCAGCGATGTGATTCACTGTCGTCGTGGCCGCGGCCATCTGACAGAAAACCAAACGAAGGCTATAGCTTTTCTAACATTGCATGCGCTGGTGGACCTTCATGACGGGATTGGCATGGTGCACGCTGACATAAGTCCTTCAAACATTTTATTGCGAGCCACGGGAGACCTGAAGCTTGGTGATTTATCTAGTGCGATGCCTGTGAATGCTGCGGTAAACTACTTTGCCGGCACAGTTCTGTATACCGCCGTTGAAGTGTTGAAGGACCGGCAGTTGGCTTCTAAGCCTGGCAGCGATATATGGGCCCTTGGTGTGACACTGCATGAATGTGTTAATGGCAGACATCCATTTGCTGATACCTCCAATGATAATTTCTGGGAGTTTTTGTCGCTAATGGAAACGGCAAGGCAAGCAGAACGCCAACCTGTGTGTTCGCCAGGTTTAAGCCAAGAATTTCATGACATTCTGTGTGCCATGCTTCGCTGGGACATCACTCAGCGGCCTAGCGCACGCTCGCTGTTGGAGCATATATGGTTCTCCCAATACAGTGTCACTAGTGCCCATCAGGAATTATGTTTTATGGCTTATTGATGGTTTTTTTTTTTTGTTGCGTGTGTGTGTGTTTTTTATATTTTGTCCATTTTCATCCCATTGTCAGGCCACACCTTTTTTAATTTTTAATTTTTTTTTTACTTTTATGCCGGTTTCTTTTTTGTGTTTGCCTCGGCCTCGTGAGTCCATAAGCCAAACATGAGACATCGGGCCTTCATTAATGCCGGGGGCCGAGTCTTTGAGACACACTTCTCCACCTTGCTACGCTACCCGAACACACCTTTTGCAAAGATGTTCTCGCTGCCAGCGACTGGGCGTAAGAAGTGCAAATATTTTGTGGATGCCACCCCTCAGGTGTTTGAATACGTGTTAAGTTTTCTGAGAACGAGCCAACTGCAACTTCCGAGGGATAACGAGCAGTTACGGGCCGAGATTGTTCACTGCCTCGACGTTTGGGGACTTCTGGAGCACGCCTTTCCTGCAGCTCCCCAAAGTATCTCCAGCTCAGATGTTGTCGAACTTCCTGACATATGTGTGGTGCAGGTGTGTGATCATATGCAGCATGATCAGGGCGTCAAACGGCACGCGCTCACCATCACATTTGGGGCAAATGGTTTTCAGTTGCGGCGACTTACACAACGCATTCGACGCGACTTGGAGAAACTGATATCCTCAACCTACTGGCAGTGCTACCAGACCAACGAGCGTGCAGCATTTTTTGTGACTACGAAGGTGGCAAACGGAACAGCGGATCTTCTGACGACATCGGTGACGCAACAACTCATTGAGCACACGGAGGCCATGGGGTACTTCTTGGCTTCATCATACGTTACACTAAGTCCTGACGTGGTCCACACCAGCGTGCGCATGCTTATTCATAACTTTACTTTTCGGCGTGCGCGGCAGACGGTGTTGGAGTTAGGCGACGAGATGGCAATGCCGGGGGGGGATGATATCATCGAAACCCACAAGAACATTTCCTCAATGCGTGTTGGCCCACAGAAAACATCGCTGTATGAGGAGCGGTCATTGCCACCGAACAGCACCAAGGCATCGGACATATGGACAATGCGGTAATGAGCTAGCTGGATACAAATGACAGCACGAGCACCCACTACCAACACAACTTACTCCGCGTACTCTATCATGCCCTTCAACACTTACTTTCTTTTTGTTTTCACTGATTGACTTGTTCTATGATACATTTGCAAAAAATAAGCACATAATCAAAGACAACCATGAATAAGAGTTCCGGATAATAGTAACAGTATAATAGGTGCAAAGAAAGGCAACATGTTTCATCACACTGCAGCTGCAAAACTAGCGCAAGGAGTGAATATTCATTAGGTATCTGTCATGTACTGGTTCCTGTCTGGAGCTCCACAGCATCAACGAAAATCGCATGCAACAGTAATTCATCGTTTTTTTTTTTGCCCAAAAGTTACTCCTCCCCTTTGAGGCCTTTAGCACGAGACTTTCTTACCGCGCACAGTTTGGGTTGGTGGTGATGAAGGTACCACTCGAAACGTATCCCTCCCTTGTTGCTGATTGCTTTGCAGATGAAGGAAAGAGAATTTGCCTCTTTTTTTATCGCTGTTGTGGGAGAGGGTGCTTTTTTTTTGCCTCTATTTTCATACGCTGCCGTGGCGGAGCCTTGCGGGGACGTGCGGCCTAAAATATAAACACATGGTGAAGAGTCTGTGGACTCACTGGGTGGTGCGGTGGCCGCGGAGTGGGGCTGCCGAATGTGCTCTTGCAGCGGGGAATATGCTGCCGCATTTCTGCCGGGTCTCCACCTTTCCACGCGGCGGCACCGCCACGACGACTGAAGAAGGCGGAAACGTCTGCGGCTGCCCTCTCAGGCCGCGTCCTGTGCGGCCCAGTCGTGTGGCAAACAGTTTACATCGCGGAATTCACGTGCACACCGCATCACGTGCTGGGCGCAGCGTATATTTGCGTCGCAGGGGAGAATGCGGCAGCGTCCCTCCTTCTTCTTTTCACGGGTGAACAGGCGGCGGGTGTTCTGCCTCTTTGCACCTCAGCGAATTGCGGCGCAAAATGCCACCGCGACGAGGCAGTCAATTTCGCCGTGAGTGGGTGATATCTACGTGTGACTACGCACACACGGAGTTGTGGGGATCCGAATGTCATGTGCAATACGAGAAGAAGAGAGACACCTCGTC